TCCAGGACGAACGAGGGGCCTTTTCTTGATGTTTCAGGTTTCTAGAGTCGCAGCTTTCTCCAAGCCCTCATTGTCCAAGGGTATTTTTCATGAATGAGATTAGGCTCTTTATAAAAGTGGCCATAATTAAACCAGGTAAGGATTCTAAAATAGCCCTTTACAGATATATTTCATTATATTAGATTATGAAGAATTCTATACAATCTACAAACACAATTGCCTAATTTATAAATTTACAAAACCCACAAAGGTTAGAGACATCTTTCTAGCACACGTCTAAAATCGCTGACTTGTTTATAATTACTAACACTGATTGCACAAGCTAACAGAGAAAAATGACTTCATCTGCCTTGACAGAAATTGAAACACGAAATTCCCTAAGTCCTCTTTACAGTAACCCTCTTTTCACTAAGAGCCTACATTCTTCTGCATCACTTGAGCCAATGACAGTTACACAGTGTATCACATTCATGTTCTTAATCTCTTTAGAACTTTGAGAATGTTAAGACACAAAGTAATGCCAGGATATTGTCTGCATTCCATTTTAGTCGACTCACAGTTTCATTTGTTCCCATCTGAATTATGAATTGTTAGAAGTTACCTGGACGCTTCTATTTGCACTTGACGGTTCATCATTCATGACATCTTGATTATTACACCAGTTTCTCTCTGTGTATACAGTTCTAGTATACAGTTCTAACTTTCTCAGCTTTTGAAGTATTAAAACCACTTAATTTGATACTTGGCACATATTTAAATGGGTAAATGAATAAAAATGTTCCTAATAAATCTTCTGTGAATACAATGAGCAACTAAAGCTCCAGTTCAGCCATTTATATTGGGTTGTCAGAAGTCATGACGCATTTTTGCACAGAAAAACAGAAAAAAAATACATCATGACTTTTCTGACAACCCAACAGCTTTAGCAATGCAAACAGCCATCTTCTACAAAGAGGTATATACATTCCAATATGCCCCAGTTTACCATTCACCGGTGCTGCCAATTTTAGACTCATCTTGATTTCAAAAACATTAAAACACAAAAAAGTCCTAAACTTCAGAATTGATGAAGTATTAGTGAATTTACAAAGTACATAATCTCCAGAGCAAGCAAAGTGGTGAGGAGTAACAGAAAAGTTGACTGTATTTCAAAGGTTGCTACCTGGGTCAGCCAGCAGTGTGATTAAGGCAGCTATATCCCACATAGCTGTTTCTTGTCTCAGCCCTGCAGCTTGAAAAAAACCACACCCCATGTGAGCGTGCAAACATCCCAAGAATGGAGAAGATGGCACAGCTATCCCCTACCGAGGGTGCTTTATCACTTTCCTGTCTTCAGCAAGCACATGCACCCTATAGCATATTTAACCAAAAAAAAAAAAAAAGTAAAAAGGTAAAGTTACCTAACAAAAAACCAGTAACCTAAACTCTTAATAACACACAAAATATGACACGTATAAATAACATGTCTTTCTGGGGACCAGCAGGTGGCATGGTGGTTGAGGTGCTGGAGACTCCCATATGGCCAACCAGTTTGAACCCCGGACATGGCAGCTTGCTTTCTCACTTTCTCTGTGTGTCTCTCTCTGGCCATTCATTCATTTATAAAAATGAATAAATAAAATTAAATAAGTAATTCTTTAAAAATAAATAAATCACACACCTTTCATTTTGTCTTCAGCCTAAACACAGTAAATATTGATACCACAGTGGTCTTTAACCTCAGAATCACCTAGAAAGCTTTTAATCTTGCTCATCCAAAGAACTTGAATATTTGAGGATGAGCTTGGGTATTTAAATTCCCTGAGTGATTTTTTTTCCCTTAGAGAGATTTTTGCTATAGGGCACATGTGTTTACCAGAGAGAGATAAAGAAAGTGAAAAATCACCCTCCCCCATGGGGGGACGGCCATATCACAATCCCTTCTCCATTTTCTCAGGGCACACACACACTTGTGCCTGGCATGAGTTTTAAGCCACCGGGGTCCGGGACTCAAACCATGGTCTACTACATGGAAGCCCAGATATGCCATCTGCTGGTCCCGCTTTTTTTTAAAGCACAGTTGACGCTGGGAATCAGTTTGAAACTGCCTCTTGCTGCGGCTCTCTCTAGCATGGGCCACATTGACTTTCTTTAAATGAGCCAATAATTACCCTCACATAGTATAATCACATCTCATTTACGAGTGGTCTCAAGTTTTCCCCGCTATAGACTGTAGCTGGTATGTGGTCTTTACCAACTACCAGTGAGTAATGAGTTAGCAAGAGGTGTGGGCTTGGGCCCTGCATCTGTTGCATGTGACTTGTGTTCTAGTGACTCCCCCTCACTGGGCCTGTGTCACTGCCTAGGATATGTGTGTGCTGGATTAGTATCTGGGATCATTTCTGCCACTAACTTTATAACCAAAATGCTGAGCAAATTAAAACACATGCTCAAATGTACCCATCTTCTTTCCAGTATTTCTGGTTGTTCTCAAAAGCCGGAGAAGTCATGCTGATTCTATGAAGGGACTTCCTCATTAGGTATTCACGTCTGTAAATGCACGCCGAGGCCCACCAGCAGCAGCGGCACTGGTGTTAAGTGCCCTGCATGCTCAAATGTACCCATCTTCTTTCCAGTATTTCTGGTTGTTCTCAAAAGCCGGAGAAGTCATGCTGATTCTAGGAAGGGACTTCCTCATTAGGTATTCACATCTGTAAATGCACGCCGAGGCCCACCAGCAGCAGCGGCACTGGTGTTAAGTGCCCTGCTGTGCAGTGCAGGCCATCAGGGAAGGCTCCAGTTTGCGTCCTGCGTCTCTGGGAATACACTGGGGACACTGTGATCCTGGCTGGCTGCAGGGCTCGTGGAGAATCACACCATGAAGACGTTGTTGAGGATGTTTCTCTTTCTCAAGAAGGGAATAAAAAAGGGCATCATTAGCAGATGAAAAGCCAAAGCAACCACATCTTTCAGGCTTGATGCTACTGTAGCAACAGGAGTATTCATTTTTTCAGGAGTGCACTTGGTGAATAATCCTGACCAGAGAATCAGTGTGAAAACCAGCTGTGTGGTCTCAGAGAAGTTACTTACCTTCTTGGTGCCTTTGCTTCTTCTACTACAAAATGAACTTAACAGTATTTACTTTCATAGGGCTGTGAGAGCTAATTAAATAATGCACTTAAATATTCATTTAAATGATATAACAGTACTTACTTTCATAGGGCTGTGAGAACTAAATTAGATAATGCTCAAACATGCTCAACTTTTTGTTTTCTTTTTTGGAGAGGTTTTTGCTATAGGGTGCATGCGTTTGCCAGAAAGATAGAGACAGAAAGCGAGAAATCACCCCCCCAGGGGGGTTGGCCACGCCACAGTCCCTTCTTCTCCATTCTCCTCTCAGGATCTTGGGCACGCACGCACACACACCCAGCACTGAGTTTAAGCCACCGGGTCCAGTACTCGAACCGCGGTGGACTACATGGGAGTCCAGCAACATAGCCATTACGCCAACTGCTGGTCCCCACATGCTCCATTTTTTAAGAGTTTTAAAAAAAACTTTCCCCCCCTAGAAATCTAAAATTATAAAGCAAGATCTTTAAGTCAAGAAAACCAAAAGAATATAAAATCAATTTTTTAAAAATTATTCAGTAAAAGAAAAGAGGGAGGATATGTCTATGGTGTGAGATGATGTTTGGTTTCTTGACGTTAGGTAGAAATGACTGGGAGAGTCGGATTTATTCTGGAAACAAAAGCTAACATTTGTTCTTTCACGAATACATCATATAATCAATTCCAACAGATTCAAATTCAACTAGCATATCCTAGGTGAATAAAACTATGCAGCAACTCTGTAAGTTCTATTTTTATTATTTAGGGCTGCAGAAACATCAAGGTGAACACAAACAAGAAAAACGTATGCAAGGATCCATTTTTCACCCCACGTATGACCATACAGAAAAAAACATTTATACTCCTAAAACAGAGGTGGTTACAAACTTGCAGAAGCCATAAATTAAAGCAATCAACCACAAAGAAGACAACAAGAAATTTATGTAGTATTTTAATATCTCAATGAAGAATTTTTAAATGCCCTATATTAAGATCTATGGAATCCATTCTTTTTTTTTTTTTTTTTTAGGTTTTTGCTATAGTGCACATGTGCTTGCCAGAGAGGAGAGAGAAGGAAAGTGAGAAATCACCCCTGGGGGGGATGGACATGCCACAATCCCTTTCCCTCTCATCAAGATTTTAGGCACTCACACACACATCTGCCCAGCATGATTTTCAAGCTACCAGGTCCAGGACTCAAACCACGGTCAGCCATGTGGGAATCCAGCTGCCTTAACCACCATGCCACCTGCTGACTCCAGAATCCATTTTTAAACAGAACGCCTGTCCATTAAGGACACGCAAAGAAGTGTTGTGATGAATGGAATTCAATTTCATGTCTTCAGCCAATAATTCTAAAAATGCTAAAATAAAATAGAGGTAGGAAGCATAAATACATAGTAGAGAAACAAATAAAGCAAATATGATAAAGGAAATTATTACCTGATACATTGTTAACAAAATTGTTCACTTTGAATCCAGATAGAAGGTATATCCTTGGACTTTTATATCCCTGTACTTAAGTTTTTCTGTTTGATGAAAATTCTTTTTTTTTTTTGGAGAGGTTTTCACTATAGGGCGCGTGTGCTCGCCAGACAGAGAGAGACATAGAGACAGAAAGCGAGAAATCACCCCCCAGGGGGGATGGTCACACCACAATCCTTTCTCCTCCATTCTCCTCTCGGGATCTTGGGCACGCACGCACATGCGCCCGGCGTGAATTCTAAGCCACCGGGTCCAGGACGCGAACCGCGGTCGACTACGTGGGAGTCCAGCGACATAGCCATTACACTAACTGCTGGTTCCCTGTCTGATGAAAATTCTTATGAAGAAAAATTTGGACAGGAAGTTTATGTACATTCTAAGCTTAGAAAAGAAATTAATCTCTCCCCCTTAAATAAATATTAAATATATTTCAGTAATAATATTTTATTTGAGGTTTCTCTGTTACCTATAAAACCAATCAAGAAAGTTAAGATAGACATAGAACCATCTGTGAATACAGCAGAAGCTCTTGAGTGTGACTTAAGAAGGGCTTCTAAAATTTCTTGCTTCAGCAGCCTGAATTCATCCCCCTGGGATCCATCAAAGCTTGCAGATACAATTGAAGTTCATTAACTTAAAATGAGGAAAGTTAGTTCTTGGCTTTTCCCTTTTTTACAGGAAGTTGACCTGTAGCTTCCAAATACTTATTAATGAGGTCTTCCTGTGTAGATGGGGAACATGGCTGATATCTGCAGTACTCCATTGTGTATTCTCCCTTGCCCTAGGAGTGAAAAAAAGAGACTGAATTTAAAAAAACAAACGAACAAGTATCAAGTAGTCAGGCAGTCAGGATTCCAGAAATGTGATCATTTTGTTTGGTGGTTTTTCTTCCCTCTTCCTCCCTCCCTCCCTATTTCTCTCTTTCTACTAGAGAGGAAAAAGAGAGAGAGAAACAGACATCATGAGCACACACATGTGGAATGTGGAGGGAGAGAGAGAGAGAGAGAGAGAGAGAGAGAGAGGTAGTTTTGACAGGGTCTTGCCATTGCAATCCTCTATCCAGCCTCCTAATTAACTAGGGTTATAGGTGTGCGTTACTGTGCTTGGCCTGTTCGGTTTAGTCTGGGATCTGAACCCCGGCCTCCCATGTGGCCCCAGTCTTGTGTGCAACACCTTAGAGCTTGTGCTACCACAGCTGGGCCTGTGTGACAGTCTTCAAAAAGAGCACTATAATACAGTTTAAACACTTGTTTACCTCTGTGCATGACCTAAGTTCCGTGGAATAGCCAAACATATCATTTAGAGGTACCTGAAAATAAACACAATAGACCCTTAGTACTGCTTATTTAAAAATCCTCAAAAAAATACAGAGACATCTTAGGTTTGTACTCACTAGTCTTGGTTCAAAAGAAATAAAAGCCAAAGAGAAATATTTTTTGTTTTACTCCAAGTGAAAAACCCTTTTTGAAAATTATTTCTTAACATTATCACAACTAGAAATCAAATCTTTCCGTTTCACAGCAGACACCACGGGTAGCCTTTCCTCCACATCCCCACCATGCTCTCGGGCCCCAGCTGCAGCCCACACAAGTATTTCGTTCCTTTGGGCCCCTTCATGATACAGTGGTGGTGGTATCTCCCAGGAGCCCTTGTGAGCTGTAATGAACACTTCCTCCCATGAGACTGAAGTTAAGAAAGGCTCACGCTATGGAGCTAAACATTACCCTAATAAATCAGATACCCTAACAAAGTGCCTGTACACATCAAACGAGAAGAAAGCCAACTATACATCTAAGAAAATGACATACTCACAGAAGACCAATATGAGACGAACCATATCCTTAGCTTTTGCACTTACAAGCTGTTGTAACAGCAAATTACAGAAATTGCCGCACACGCATCAGCCACAAATTCCACAGGGAAACACGTCGATTTGCTCTACAATCACCTAAAACAACAGCTCCCTCTGATTTCGTTCTATGGTTAATAAAACAGGACTGCCCATGGCCAACAGTACTCACATCCGCATAGACTGTGAAGTAGTCCTCGATGCCATCCTGCCCTGTGATCACCCCATGGCGCCGGTTAATTCCTGCTATCACCGCCCCCTGAAATTCATTTGGAGCTATAACTTCCACAGACATGATTGGTTCAATAATACACAATGTTGAATTTGCCAAAGCTGGATTAAAAAAGAAAAAATAAGCTCATTAGTTTTGTTTTTTTGTTTGAGAAATTTTTGCTATAGGACGCATGTGCTCACCAGATAGAGAGAGATAGACAGAAAGTGAGAAATCACCCTCTAGGGGGGACGGCCATGCCGCAATCCTTTCTCCTCCATTCTCTTTTCGGGATCTTGGGCATGCACGCACATGCGTCCAGGCCCAGGACTCGAACTTCTGTCGGCTACAGGGGAGTTCAGCGACATAGCCATTACACCAACTGCTAGTCCCAAGGCTCATTAGTTTTTAAGTAAGCTGGATATTCTTTTCTACCCAGATATATGAAAGGGAGATCAACAGGACCCTCTCAACAGTACATGGACAAGTCATGAGGTTAAAATATTTGGTCTGAAGTCATTTTTCTCATAGGAGTAACAGTCATTCTTCCAAATGGAAATTCCAATAAGACAACATTGAGTTCCAGTATTTTTGTCCTTTAAGCTGATTAAACTGCATGTGAATAAAAAGGTCTTAAAATGGCATTCAATCAAGTACTCTGCCATCCAAGTTACCCAGTTTCGTTACTTTTTACCTCTGAAAATTTTAAGGAGTAAAGATACTTGCTGTGAAGTCTGTGGCCAAGGTAAACCCATTCTTGCTTGTTGGCCCAACAATTATTTTTTATTTACTTATTTATTTATTTGTGCTATAGGGCGCGGGTGCTTGCCAGACAGGACAGAGACAGACAGAGAGACAGAAAGCGAGAAATCCCCCCCCCCGGGGGGGCCAGCCACGCCGCAATCCCTTCTCCATTCACAGGATCTTGGGCACGCATGCATACGTGCTCGCCCGGTGTGAGCTTTAAGCTGCCGGGTCCGGGATGTGAACCACGGTTGACTATATGGGAGTCCAGTGACATAACCATTACGTTAACTGCTGGTCCCCAGTTATTTTTAACTATAAGAAAATAACCTTTATCACACAGAAGCGGGAGGGGGCAGAGGGCACCCTTCAAAATCACACAAAAATCCAACTTTCCTTTTCTAGCTTGACCAATTTCAGTACTTAATTGAGAATTAGAAGAACCTAATTCTAGCTTTTGTTCTACCTCGAACAACTCACAGTCCTCTTGGAAAATGTTAAGTCTGTCCACTTCTCAAGTTTCTTTACCTACACAATAAGGTATTGGACTGAGGGCTATTTAAGCACTAAACTCAGTGTGTATGCCTCCATTTATCATCCCACTTAATTCATAAGCAGAACACTTCTTACTGTTGCAAACACTGACAAATGTTTAAATGCAACAAGGTGAGAGTATAATAAGATTCAAACATTCAAACATCCAAATTAATTTGGAAGTTCTAACAGTGCAGAATAACACTTCAGCTTCAGATTGGTTGAACCATCTCTAAGTAAAAGCTTTTCAGTAAAGAACTCTCTTTGGTGAAAATACTTCTGAAATGTTTTGCGAATGAGTTCTCTTATGTAAAGAAACTTATGGACATGACTAATGAATTACCGCATATTGTGGGAGACATGGCTGAGAAGAAACTTCTGGCTTCGGGACACAACTTTAAAATTCCGTTATTAAATACTGATGTCAAACTGCTATACGGTCATTTACTTTTTGCTCTTCAAAGTACTGAATCAGTTATGTTTGTGATTAAAGTTCTATCAGCAGTTCATCAGGGTTTTTGTTACTTGCCAGAGTGTGCATGTGCTCACACGTGACAGAGTAGGAGAAAGCACCCCCGGGTGACAATCTGCTCTCCTCTAGTTCTCTATCCTGTCCACAGGTCTGCGTTTGGGGAATGCACACACATGCACCTGTTTGTGTTTTCCAAGCCGCTGGTGCTGGGATTTAAACCTGGCATTTAGTCCCATAGTGGCTCCCTTAACCACTAGGCAGTAGGGCCAGCTCATCACCAGGGTTTTTATTATTGTGAAGTTGGCCACGTGGGATCCAGTCATTTTAACCACTATGCCACCGGTTGGTCCCATCGTCAGGGTTTTAATACACATAGTATTCTGTGTAAAAAGTGTTGGCGATTTTAGTTGTTTATCAAGGAGTTTGCATTGTGAAGGTTTACTGAACTCTTCCAAAATACTTAGCTATCCTCAGAAATGCCTAAGCTTATAATGTCATACATTTAAAAAAACAAAAAGGGGGAAAAAAAAAGAAATCACAAATTTATGGACTTCTCAATACTTGAATGGTCAATAAAAGTAGTAAGACGGTAATTCGCTTATCTTTAAAAAATTACTTAGAATTATGAACGTGTCTTCTCTATGAAAAGCAGAATTTAGATTATCCATGAATTTAAACATAGAGGGCCACCTAGGTGACATAGTGGTAAGACAGCTGGGTGTCACACAGCCAGCCGACTAAGTGGTTCAAGTCCCTTGAAAACTCAGTGGGCCTATGTGTGTACATGCCCGAAATCCAAAGAGGAAAATAGAGAAAGGACTGTGGCATGACCATTCCCACTTCGGGGGGGGGGTGTGTGTGTTTTTCACTTCGCCTTTTTCTGTCTCTCTGGTAAGTGCACATGTTCTATAGCAAAATAAAAAAAAAAAAAGAAGAAAAAAAATCAGGTAATTTAGGATAGGTTAAAAAAATAATATAGCGTATGAGCACACACATGAAAGAGACTGAGAGATATACAGAGAATCACACAGAGCATTCTGAACCCACAATCAGACATGTGGCCCCCAGCACTGCTGATGGTATACTATAGACTGTGCCATCTAGGCCGGGCAAGGAAGGCCTTTAACTGCAGAAGACAGGAAGAGTAACTTGCCTTCACCTCAATTCTGTAAACACCGATATCTGCCTACTATCAGTCATATTCTGTGGAGTGGTGCATATTGTTCTGGGTGAAAAGACTAAAAGCAGACTTACCTTCAATCAGGTAAAACAGACACGCTAAGATGGCAGGTGCGAGGGCACAGCATACCTTGTTTAAGAGCACCTTCTCCCGCTCGGATGAAGGAAATTTCATTGGAGTCGACCATGTGGTGTGCTCCATCTTGCAGGACAAACCGGAGCCCAGAGAGCTTGTGACCAGAAAGAGGGCCTTTCTCACAGGCATCCAAAAACCCCTGTTAATAAATGAACATAACTTCCAGAGTGGACTGCACGTGCAGATGCATTACCAAGAACATTCTTCTGAAACATTTTTATGTTCAGAAGTGTAACATTTTAATGTATTCTGTATTTCACCCCTCCAAAAAGAATTTTTAAAAAAGCTTAACACTTTAACTATTTAAGTTTTATTATTGTAGCATCTAGATGAACAATCTCTCAGGAAAGATTGTTACTTAAAGGTGAGAGCTAGTTTGAATGCAATGCTCAGAGTGTTTGCTAACAATAATTTTCTCAGAACCTCAACTTCAGGAATTACTTGACTCTCACAACCCATTACAAGGACAGCATGATCTCGATTTTATAATGAAGAAACAGTACAAAGGCAAAATCAAGGGACACCCTAAATGAAAATCCCCATCAAGGTTGATGCTTATTCAATAGCTGTGCCTTAAATATACTAATATTAACTAATATACAATAAGCTGCACATATAAATCTACAGGAATACAGTTAGATACATGTGCAACACTTTTTCATGCTTAATTTAAATATTTCTCTTTTTTTTTTTTAGAGGCTTTTGCTATAGGGCGTGTGCGCTTGCCAGACAGACAGAGAGAGACAGAGAGATAGAAAACGAGAAATCACCCCCAGGGGGGATGACCACACTGCAATCCCTTCTCCTCCATTCTCCTCTCGGGATCTTGTGCACGCACGCACACACGCCCGGTGTGAGTTTAAGCCACCAGGTCTGGGACGCGAACCGCGGTTGACTATATGGGAGTCCAGCGACATAGCCATTACGCTAACTGCTGGTCCCGTTAATTTAAATATTTCTAGAGCTCCTATGACTCAAGTCATTTTTTTATGTTTTTGTTTTTTGGCTTTTGTTTTGTTTTGTTTTGTTTTTTGTAATACAACCATATGGTTGCACAGATAAATTTATTTCTGACATTTCAAGCTTAAATTCTGAAAAATGAGCTCTTAACTTACATAATCTTGGTAAATGTAAGACATTTAAAAATATGTAAATGACAAATATTGTCTTGATACAAAAATGTAACGAATGAGATAATAACAGAAAAATGCTACTACCACTAAAACCAAAATTATAGCCTGTTAAGACTTCTAACTTAAAAGGTTAAAAGAAAAACTCAAAATCTCAATCTATTAGACTAAACAGATGCTAAAGATTTACAGCAGCCTTAAAGCAAGTGACCTAGAATACAACAAAATATTAATCCCTCCGATGTACAAAGCACTTCAAATTCTCCAAGAAAGGTTACATAGTCTTACCTGATCTTTAATTCTGTGAGGAATATAGGTTAAATATTTTACTCTCAGTTTACAAATGAAGAAACTGGTTCTGAACACGGATTTACCAAAGAGCCCATTTGTCAATAGCACAGACAACAGCAGCGCCCCGGTGTCGGGAATCTCACCGACCATTCTGTTACTACAGCGCTAGGAAACATTCATAAATCCCTCAGGACCACTACAGATTATAACTGATCATAATCAATGCAGTCCTTTCCATTTATCAAGAGAAATATGATAACTATGATTAAGGAACAAAGATTTCCCATCACTATCATAACATGTATGTACAGTTACTGAATTTAGAAAAATAAAATGGAAGCTTAACAGTAAGACCAAGAAGGACAATAAATACAAAGACCCATGGTAGATAATGTGGCAGAAGATAAAGTTTGATTTGTCACCTAATAGACTGTTTTAATTTATTGATTTATTTTTAGAAGTTTTTGCCGTAGGGTATGTGTGCTCGCCAGAGAAAGAGACAGAGGTAGTGAGAGGGGAAGTGGAAAATGATTCCCCAGGGAGGATGGCCACACAGCAATCCCTTCTCCTCCTGGGTTCTTGGGCGGGCACATGTACCCAGCGTGATTTTCAAGCCACCAGGTCCCAGACTTGAACCGCAGTTGGCCATGTGGAAGTCTAGCAATGTAACAGTTATGCCATCTGCTGGCCCCAACAGACTTTTTAATAAGTAAAAAATGCAAGATAAATTTTCAAAAAAAATTACCTTTTCTACGGCAGGCACAAACTGCTTTGGAACATTTGACCCAAAAGTTTCGTCTGCAAACTCCAACTTAGTGTAGTTGTCTGGGTCCAGAGGCTCCAGCACCCCGATCACCTTTCCAAACTGGCCCGCACCACCTGACTGCTTTTTATGTGTAAAGTCAAACCTGGAAGTGGTTTAGGAGAAAAAGAAAATAGCATTATGTAATTGCCAACACAAACTAACTCCTACTAGTTTATACGGGGAAAAAAATCACATTTAATCATTTTACTTATTCCTTTGAATATGGTAGCCTTGCTTTAACTTTTTACTGTAGAGTTCACTTTAAAAAGACTCCCTTGTTTTCTGTTCTTACTTGGGGTGAGGATGGAAAACACTACCTAAGGTAGTCCAGTTTTTAATTCTGTCAATTCCGAATTTCACAAATAAAAATGTAAAAGTCAGGTAGTTACAATAAAAAGGTCTAAAGATCTTGCTCTAACAGCCTACATTCCAGAAAGCTAACCCACTTCTGGAATGCCTCCCCCTTCCCGGGAACACAGTCTTTTCTCCTTAAACCCGTTGCCCAGTACTGGTACCTGGAAACAGGGGCTCTGAAGGCTTCCGTTCATTTATTCAGAGAGTTCCTATTTGATTTTTCTACTCAGGCAATACAATAAAGAGGAGTTCCAGGTCAAATAGTGAACGCCGGGAAATGACAAATGGCAGAATGACAGTAATAACAAAGTAAGCCACTCCAAAACACAGACACAGACACAGGTCAGTGTTTATATCAAACCACTCTTGACAACATAAATAGAATGGAATAAGCATTTTACATACATAAAATACGTAGTGACAGGCCACTTTTCCACTAGAAAAACAGTTCATGAATATCTGCTGTCTACAGCAGATATTTTATTTTAAACTAAACTCTTCCTCAACAGCACAAGGTGGAAGAGGACAAATGCTTTTAAATTTACCTGCAGAAAATTTCAAGAACATCGACGCTAGCGAGTGTGTGTGTTCCTGCATAAAGATCTGAGTGCTTTGCAAGAAGTATCAACATCGACAAGAGATGCCAGCTTGGAGTGAGCAGTCTTCCAAACGGGCCTGAGTGTGAGTGTGCCTGACTGCAGAGGGGAACACCCGAACCCCCCCAGAGTTACCAAAAGGATTTCCAAAGCTGTGGTGCCTGTCAGCCTCAGGAGTACACGGAATGTATTTCGTGTCTGAGGCATCTGGGATGTTGTTTTTCAACATCTATACAGAACACTCTAGATCTGTGCTGTCAGCACAGTAAACACTAACCGTGGCTAGCTGCATTTCTACCCACTGAAATGCAACAATACAGTTACGCTCCTTGGTCGCACAAGTCAATCGTGGGGGCTTAGCAGCAGGTGCGGTGCACAGCTACCGTACTGGGCGGCCCAGATCCGTTCCCAGCACTGCACGAAGTTCTGCTGGGCAGCACTGCTCTGGAGGACCAACTCAGAAAGCAAGTGATTTCACAGGGCTTTAGGGACCATGTCTGAAGCTGTAGTGCCAAGTAATGGACCATTTTCATGCCAGGCTTCTGTTTAGCACTTTCTTTTTTTCTTTTTTTTAAAGAGGTTTTTGCCTTAGGGTGTGTGCACTCATGGTGGTGGTGAGGCGGGGGACAATGAGAGGAAATGTGAGAAATCACCCCCTAGGGGAGATGGCCACACCACAATCCCTCTCCAGTCTCCTCCCGGGATCTTGGGCATGCACGCACATGGCATGATTTTCAAGTCATGGGCTCCAGGACTTGAACTGCACTTGTTCATGTTGGAGTGCAGCAATGTGACCACTACACCATCTGCTGGCCCCACGTTTAGCACTGTCTATGGATTGTCTCACTTGTTCTTTGCCATAAACCCACAGAGTAGGTAACGTGTCCATCACAATTTTACAGACAAGAAAACCGAGTTATCAAGAGAGGTTAAGTGGGACCAGCAGTTGGTGTAATAGCTATGTCACTGGACTCCCACGTAGTCGACCGCGGTTCGAGTCCCGGACCTGGCGGCTTAAACTCACGCCGGGCGCGTGTGCGTGCGCGCCCAAGATCCCGAGAGGAGAATGGAGAAGGGATTGCAGCGTCACCATCCCCCCTGGGGGGTGATTTCTCACTTTCTATCTCTCTGTCTCTCTCTGTCTGTCTGGCGAGCGCATGCGCCCTATAGCAAAAACCTCTTCAAAAAAAAAAAAAAAGAGGTTAAGTAACTTGCCCAACGTAGCACAGCGGGACTCAGGATTTACACCAAAATCAAGGCATTTCACCAACATTTTTCTAGGTGGCTAATAAAGAACAAACTGAGTTTACCTGCAAACGATGCATTCATTTTAAGTCATTAGATGGGTGATCCTGAAGTGCAACCATTAATTAAACATGGCACAAAGGAACCCAGATTCCACATGGCTGACTAGGTTTAAGTCCTGGCCCCAGCTTGAAAAACACAGCAGGTACACGTGTCTAAGATTCTGGCGAGACTGAGAACTGGAGGAAGAAAGACCGTGGCCTGACCAGGCCTTCTGGGGTGTAGGCACTCACGCGTTTTCTCTCCTCATCCCCACCCTTCTCCTTCTCTCACCCTTCCTCTCTCATGCATGTACCCCATAGGCATTTAAAAATCAAAAAGGCTGCTGCACGGGGCCAACAGGTGGCATGGAGGTTAAAGCAGCTGGATCACACATGGCCATCTGTGTGGTCTGAGTTCCAATCCAGGAGCTTGAAAATCGCACCAGGTACATATGTGAGCATGCCCCAAATCCCGAGGAGAATGGGGGAGAAAGGACTGCGATGTGGCCGTTCCCCTGGGAGCTGACTTCTCACTTTCCCTCTCTCTGTAACTTTGTCTCTCCAGGCAATACAAGCACCCTACAGCAAAAACCTAAAAACAAACCAACAAAAAATACAAAAGGCACCTTACAAAAATAGACCTGGCAGTAGTTCAGATAAAGAGGCAGAGGAACTAATTCCACTTAGCAGACAGTTGACCAGACAGGCTGAAGGTACAAGAATCCCTGCTCTGTGGTCAGACCACTGGCATACTGGAAAAGGCAACTTAGTTTTGGCAAAACATCATCTGTCCCATTAAAAGTAATTAGAATTATATTGATTTTGTTTACTTCTAATTTATGTTTAGATTTGAGTTTATAGTCATACCAAAATTGCAAGCCATAGGCATTTTTACTTAAAGTTCATTAAATTATAGTACAATTTGCCTGATCCCAGAGAACACAGTAATTCTGTTATTTTGAAGGTAATCCACATATTACTCAAATTTAAGGGTATGGACTGACGACTAATGATGAACTTTGGTAACTAAGACTTTAAGGATCCACATGTAGAAATGAGATTCTCAGGGAACCAGCAGTTGGTATAATGGCTCTGTCACTGGACTCCCATGTAGTTGACCACGGTTTGAGTCCCGGACTCAGTGGCTTAAACTCACACCAGGCGTGTGTGCCTGTGTGCCCAAGATCCCGAGAGGAGAATGGAGGAGAAGGGATTGCGACGTGGCCATCACCCCTGGGAGATGATTTCTTGCTTTCTTTCTCTCTGTCTCTCTCTTTCTGGTAAATGCATGCACCCTATAGCAAAAACCTCTCCAAAAAAAGAAAAAAAAAAAAAGGAATGAGATTCTCTTAATGAGGCTTGTTAATTTAAACACCTATATCAGCAGTTAAATTGTAAAAATGTTATTACACTTCTAAAAGAACCAGAATTGGTACGTGTGCTTTTAAATGCCTATCACGCCACAACCTATGCCATCAGCTCTGATCTACAGGAAGAGCGATTGCGTTAATAAGACTTTCACACAAGCGACTGCAGGAATCTCTCGTGCTGTACTCCACACTGCTCTAACTGATGGTAATTAGCAATCTGTGAAACTTAAATTCAATTATCAGCAAAAAGTTCTTTCTGAGTCATCACAATGGACTCAGCTACGCTTTCCTGGACACTATCTAAGAAGTACCGAAGTCAAAAATTACACACACATGCACACACACACACACACACACACACACACACACCAACCATCACCTGAGACTGGCTCATAGATAAATGACTCATCCAAAGAAGGAAAAAGAAAATTAAAAGAAAAGCAATCTTCTATTACTTAGAAAAAGCTTTAAGGGAAGTTGGTTACTTCAGTTGAGGGCTAACACCCACGAAGGATGAGAAATTCCTTACTGCCTGCTTACTATTTTTCACAAATCCACTTACTCCGAAGACAGACTTTACTGACAAGCAACTTGTAGATGATACATGAGAAGACAACACATTACAAATACATCTTTGTGGAGAGATTTTTGATATAGGGTGCATGTGACTGCTAGAAAGAGACAGACACAGAGACAGAAAGCAAGAAATCACCCCTTGAGGGGATGGCCACGCTGCAATCCCTTCTCTTCCATTTTCCTCTTGGGATTTTCATGTGCACACACACATGAACAGTGTGAATTTTAAGCCACAGGGTCGCCTACATGGGAGTTCAATGATGTAACCATTACATCACCTGCTGGTCTCTGTTCACTTTCTTTTTAAAAGCACCATCTCAACATATATAGCAATAGATAAGTCTTCAAAACAGCATTTAAAAAATAAAAAAAGAGTTCTAAAGAACTTCTATTCCAAAACAACACACTAAAACAAAGTCTGGCCATTGGTCTGATACAAATGAACTGTAGTTTCCTGATCTGAAGCAAATCCAAAGAATAGCCTAAGTTACTGTTTATATGTGACAAAGTAAGGTAACTGGGGCCAGCAGGTGGCATGGTGGTTAAGGGCACTGGACTCCCACATGGTGGACCATGGTTGAGTCCTGGACCTGGCAGTTTGCGTTCTCTCTCTCATTCTCCAGCCAAATTAAAATAAGTAAATAAATAAAGTTTAAAAAAAGGAGGAAAAAAAAACATAAACAAAGAAGAGGAAGGTAACTATGGAGACTGGAGAGTGACAAGGCACTGCTTACCAAAACTTTGTTCCTGCCTAAGCCTCATTTGTTTTTGCTACAGGGTCCATAGGCAGATAAAGAATGAGAAAAATGGCAAGCAAGTAATCCCACCTCCCTGATGGGAGGCCATGCCACAATCCCTCCTCCTCCAGGGATTCTGGGCATGCAAGCAAGTACCCAGCCCAGCCTGCGGTGTGGGGCCAGGACAACTCCTGCAGGCAACCCAGCGGGATCCAGCTGCTTTCACCTCCAGGCCACCTGCTGGCTGGCCTCTGCCTGAACAGTTCTAAAAACTGCTTTTGTGGAAAGCTACTTCAAGGTAGTGCTTAAAAAAAATTCTTTTTTGAGAGGTTTTTATTATAAGGCACATGCGCTCGCCAGAAAGACAGGGACAGACAAAAAAAAAGCGGGCCCCCCCCCCCAGGGGGGATGGCCACGTCACAATCCCTTCTCCTCTCCGGATCTTGGCACACGCACCTGGTGAGTTTAAGCCACCGGGTCCGGGGCTAAAACCACGGTCGACGACATGGGAGTCCAAGGACATAGACATTACGCTAACTACTGGTCCCAGTAGTGCTTTTTTATAAGTTCCATTTTTACCTATGTTTTAATCTTTATATAAAAAGATTCAGGTTGGAAGTTATGTTAAAACCGCATCTTTCTCCGATGAGTAGAATGAGGAGTGTAGGTATACTTTTAAAATTAAAATGCGCAGTCCTCCCATTTAATACTACAGTTTGAGGTCTCCTACGGGTAGCGGAAGCAG